CAGTCCAGGGGGCACAGGTGACGGCGGCGGCAGGTGGAGAGCCAGGAAGGCCAAGCCGGGTACCTGTCACCATCCTGGGATCTTGCTACCACCAGAATTACTGAGTAAAATAATCCCCCCGCATTGAAGCCCTTGCAGACAGACTTTCTAGGGTACACTGTAGACTGAGGAAGAAGTGGCTGCCGCAGTGGCTCCTGTCTCCTTCCCCACAGGTCTGGTCTTGTCCTCATTCCCCTCATTTTCTGTTCGACACCATGTAAACGCATCTCTCTCCGGGGCCTTACAATCTAAAATTCTTTGCTAGCTCTCCATCTCAAAGATAAGCATCTAACCTTTGCCTTTTAGTAAAAGCTTTTGATTTTTGTGGTTTGTCTTCTCTCTAGTATCTCTTCCCACTGCTCCCTTCTCTGCTAAGATGTCACTAAGGCCTGGGGTCTTCTAATTTTCCTCCCTTTACTCTGACCCTTGTTATTTCGTATGTTCTTATGATGCCTGTTTGACTTCAAGCATTACATTCAGGCTCAAGTCAGAAAGAAAAGTAAGTGCTGCATCTACTATACCAGCCCCACAAGAGCCTTCCAAGAACCTCTCAGCATCCCACAGGTACATGGGCTGATGCTAGGTGCAGGGGAGGCTGGAAAATTGGGATATGTCATGGCAATGTCAATGTCAATAATGTCCTGTCAATAGACAATGGTAATGTCTATTGGCTTATATCCTATATGATCAAATACTTGAGGCTTTGCTAGCTACTGCCCTCAACAAATCTGCAGTCGTCAGCGAGATTTATAATCTGAGCTGAATGTAGTGGTACACCCCTGTAATCCAAACAAAAGGAAGTAGAGACAGAAAGAGTGGGAGTCTGAGGTCAACCTTGCCAGCACAGCAAATGTGAGGAGGCCAGCCTGGTCTACATGAAACCCTGTCTCAGGAAAAAAAAAAAAAGGTGCAGACCAGTTGTGCAGTTGTGGTAGCTACACACCTTTAATCCCAGCACTCTGGAGATAAAGGGAGTCTAATTTCTGAGTTCGAGGCCAGCTGGTCTACAGAGTGAGTTCCAGGACAGCTAGGGCTAGACCTAGAGAAACCCTGTCTCACATAAACAACAACAACAACAAAAAAGCAAAACAAAAGCAAAACAAACAAACAAAAAAGGTGATGGCTAGAAACGTGAGCAGGTGATAAGCAGGTTCTGTCCCTGCCTCATGTTCAGCAGGATGAGAGCAATGGTACTTGAATTCCCACTGCTCTACAAATCTGCCTGGAAAACTCTTCCTTGCCCGTCCCATGCCAGTTTCCACGAGGCCTCTCCGTTCTTCTATCCCACCTGCCTACTTCTGCCGTAGGTAGATGCACCTGCCTTTACAGTTGCTGATGTGCTGAAATGCTGTGTCACATTTATTCTCTCCGCACGGATTCCAACTCGGTGAATGCCTGTTCTTTCCCAGTCCCTGCTGAGAGCCAGACCTGGTTCCCACCCTGCTGGAGTTTTCAGACTGAAGACTGAGATGTTCAGCCAGGCAGTGATGGTGTACACCTTTAATCCCCAACACTAGAGAGGCAGGTGGATTTCTGAATTCAAGGTCTGCCTTGTCTACAGAGTGAATTCCAGGACAATCGGGGCTAAAGAAAGAAACACTGTCTCAAAAAAAAGCAAAAAAATAAAAAACAAACAAACAAAAAAGAGGTGTTCAAGTAAACTTTCGGGGGTAAAGATTATCATTTTCCCAGGCCACAAACAGCCTTAGAGCAGAAGAGCCTCTTGTCCCAAGTGCCTGGCACGGCTTCTGGCGCAGAGAAACCATACCACGAAGTGCTGAACTCCTGTTCTCCTTGGGAAGGCTTTGAAATGCAGTTTAAGTGTATACACTTGAAGAGGAGTGCAAGGAAAGGGGCTGGCGGGCAACAGGACAGGAAGGAAATGCAATGACACGCTGTGCTGGCTGATCTTGGTTGTGGACTTGACTCTACCAGGGATCAACTAATTCCAAGCAGCTGGGCACCCCGTGAGGGATTTTCCTCGTGGTGGAAGACCCCACCCTAAATCTGGATCACACTTTCTGCTGGCACCCACATAAAAGGCCACAGGAGGAGGAAGCTTTTGCTTTGTGCCTGCTTGTTCTCACCCTCTCGGTGACTTCATCTACCCGACTGCGGAGGAGTTCCTTTGCTAGAGGTAGAACCTACCCCTTCAGGACTCCATGTAGTCAGCATTGTTGGACCACCAGTCCACAGCCTGGAAGCCTCTGTAATAAATCTCTTTTTAATGTATATAGATGATTCACTCTATCTGTTCTGCTCCTTTAGAGACCCCTCACTAGCACATACATGTTATGTATACATGTATACAAATATCATGGTGAAACCTATTTTTTGTGCACCAACTTAAGAAGTCACATAAAACAGGGTGGTTAAGAGCAGCGGCCGCTCTTCCAGAGGACCTGGGTTCAATTCCCAGAACCCATATGACAGCTCCTAATGTTTGTAACTCCAGTTCCAGGGGATCTGACCCCTTCTTCTAGCGTACTCAAGCACACATGTGATACACAGGCATACATGCAGGCAAAACACCTATCCACATAAAATAAAAATAAACTTTAAAAATGTATTAAATAAAAAACAACAAAAGAGGGGCTGGAGAGATGGCTCAGCGGTTAAGAGCACTGACTGCTCTTCCAGAGGACCCAGGTTCAATTCCCAGCACCCACATGGCAGCTCACCACTGTCTGAAGACCCAGTTCTAGGGGATCGGACACCTTCACACCAATGCACATAAAATAAAAAGTTAAATAAACCATAAGAAATATTAAAAAAAAACAACAAAGGAGACATTTTCCTCATTTCTATCAGGGATGCCCCTCAAGACTTCACCAGCATTATAGCAGGCATTCAAGGACATCAAAATCACCGTGTTCCCCATCTTTGCGTTTTCTTCTCATTGGAACAGGCACAGGAACATCTAATATGTATGTTTTCTGACCAACATTTGCTTTGTCTGTTTTTAAGATTTGCTTTTATTACTTTACTATGAGGGGGGAAGGGAGTATGTGCACAGGAATGGAAGTGTGCACAGAGATCAGAGGTGTCAGACTGCCCTGAAGATGGGGTTACAGACAGTTGTAAGATGCCTGATACGGGAGCTGGGAATTAAACTCAGGTCCTCAGGATGAGCAGTATGTCCATCTCCATAGCTTTTTTTGTTTGTTTGAGATGGGACCACATGCAATAGTTTGCGCTGGTCTGGAATTCATAGCAATTATCATGCTCCATCGTTCTGAGTGCCGAGATTATAGAGGCGAGCCGCCACACCAGACGGCACACGTGAGGACCACAGGACAGCCTCCGGTGCTGCTCTTGAACCACTGCCACTTTTATTTATTTCACTTTGTTTTTGTTTTTGAAACAGGGTCTTCCATTGGCCTGGGACCCTGGGCTGGCTCACCCAGGAACTCACAGGCCCTGCTTCCCCAGTTCTGAAATCACAAACACACACCATCACACCTGGACCTTTTTGTTTAACGTGGGCTCTGGGGCTCAAACTCAGTTCCTCCACCTTAGAAAGCAAGCATTTTGCTCTCTCCCCAGGCCTTTTTTTCATACTTCCTAAGCAAGGACAGCTCACTGTCCACGCCAGAGACACCGAAGTCTAATTCTGAAGCACAGAAGGAACTCCTCTAAAGCCAGGGGCAGCAAGCAGCAAATGTCCACAGGCCCGGCACCTTCAGAGCCGTGGCTGAGGCAGGAGAATTATGGCAAATTCGAGGACAGCCTGGGCTACAGAGTAGGACCCTACTTAAAAATGAATCAACCTCCTGAGGGTTCCAGTTCATAACTTATGTGGTTTCTGGGTCTTCCTGTTCCATCACCCTTTTTTAACCACTGCAAGTGAGGACAGCTAGGAGCAAGGGAATACAAATAACACTCAGCCTGTGTTTCTGTTGCCATGGTGATGTTGACACGTGAAACTCACGTGAGCTCCTTTATACAGTGAAGCCGGCTGATTGCAGAGGCCAAAGACTGAGGTCACAAACCTGAAAGGTACACAACACACACACACACACACAGACACAAATGTGCAGACACAGGGTGGGGGTGGGGGCTAACTGTGCAAAGGGCTTCATGCCACCACCTGAACTATCTTGCTGCCTCTTAGTCAGATAACAAACAGATGACCAGCTTGCTCCTAGAGTTCCCAAGAACCAAGTCCTCCACCTCCCCAGCGGCCTGTGAGGTGTATGTATTCACGGCCCCTCTTGAGTTCTCACCGTCTGTCCATCTCTTTTGATGTCCTCCCGCCCTAATTTCCCTCACTTTCGCTTCCTTGGGAAGTAAAGTGAATCACCCTTACCCTTAGGAAGGTCGTGGGTGGTGGGATGAAGCAGGGACTCACTTGTTTTCATCCTGCCACAGCTAACTGTGGCTTTCTCAGGATCCCAACCTGTTAACAGTTTCAGAAGTGGCTGGAGTGGGGACAGTCCCTGCCACTCCTAACCCCAGGCCACCTCAGGGAGAAAAGGAGAAAGTCAAGAACAGCAGGCCCCATGCACAACACCCTCTGTTATTCTTTTGCGGTCACTTTAAGGACTAACCATGCCCACCCCAGCGACTTCTGACCTCCCTCGCTGCCATCTTTCTCTCTCTCTTGTGTTTGTCTCGTGTCGTATGTACATGTGTCTTTTGTTTCTCTCTATGTTTCTCTTATGTTTCTCTGTTTTCCTCTTCTTTAAGCAATAAATGTCTCCCTCTTATTTAAATAATACTATGTCCTGTGAGCCTTTTATCCGCCGTAACCGCCCGCCTGACTCTCCTGGCCGCATGGCGCTGCCACCCTGGAGATCTTGCAGGGACCCACAGCCATCCTTGTCGGACTAGGAGCTGCTCCGCGAGCCGCCCGGGGCATCCCATCATATTCTTTTTAAAGAACAAGATTTGGTGCTGTGACTTGGATGATTCACCCACCCTCCTCCTCCTCCGGCCAAATGAAGGTAAGAGAGAGAGCAGGCGGGTCTGCATTTAATGAGCATCTCTGAAAACCTCTGTGAGAGGAAGAGGCCCACACAGCTTGGAGACCCAGACTGATGGCAACAGGGCTGTCAGGCCTCCAGATGACCCTGCAAGACAGAAGTGGTTACGCGAGATTAGGAATGCGGCCTTTCCCACCTCACAGTAAGAAAAAACAGCTGAGCCGTGATGGCGCACGCCTTTAATCCCAGCACTCGGGAGGCAGAAGCAGGCGGATCTCTGGGAGTTCAAGACCAGCCTGGTCAACAGAGCGAGTTCCAGGACAGGTTCCAAAGTTACAGAGAGAAACCCTGTCTTGGAAAGCAAAAACAAACAAACAAACAAACAAAAATAAAAAAAGGAAGAAAAAGCAAACAAACTACTAAAAATAACTCCAGCTTTCTGAGTGGTTTCAGGAATTATCCTGCCTGTGAGGGGTGGGAATAAAACATGAGATGCTCTGTCATGTTGTATAAGTAGGAGGAGGGAAGCTCCCTCTGTCCCCCACTTCCCCAGGACACATCCCACACCCATCCTCTCAATCTGTTCACTAGATCCTGCCGCTGACACAGAGACAATCCGGGCCTCGGGTCCTAGCCTCTAATCCCCCTAAACTGTCAGGGAAATGGCACCCCCGCCCCACACTGCTCTGCTCTGCAGTTTCCCCGGCTTGCGGCTTGCCTTCCTTCACACCTAGACCCATAAGCCCGTGCTGCTTGTCACAAGAATAAGGCTAACACCCACCCGAGGCTGGATTCCTTCTGGCTTCTCCCAGCAGCTGAGCATTGTGGCTTTGCTAATTAGGCTCCTTTCTTGTCTTTAATTAGCTGCATGTGAATCTTGTTGGGAAGTCTTGGATCTGTGAAATAGTCTGGGACAAAAATCAGAACGAAATCATCTATGCTGAGGGGGAAAGCCTGGGCAACAACTTACTCTACTGATAAGTCGGAGGCTTCGTCCTAACCACACTCACTGGTGGTCTCTACTTCACAATATGATCTCGGCGTTCAGGAAAGCAACCCAGGCAAGGCTCCTGCAGGTTGCCCTGCCTGGGCTCTTGGCCCACTTGATGCTCAGGGAGCCACCAAGGGCTCAGGATTCTGAGCGCTCTGGTCTGGGTCCATCTTAGAACCCAAATGAACACCAAGTATTATTCTGATCTCCACTCGGCGTGCCAGTTCCTGTCTCTGAAATAAAGACCTTTTCTAGGAACACGCTCTCCGAGGAGAGCCGGGCTCACAGCGTGGTGGTAGAAGACGGTTCTTACGCCAGGAAGAATGTGAGTCACAGTTCTGCTGTGGCAGGGAAGGCGAGCTTAGAGCGCTGTGGACTCCCAGGGTTAACCGCACCCAAGACACCCGCCCAGCTCCCACTCTGCACAGTTTGACCCGAAGTCATCTCGGCAGCCGAGTCCATTAAAAACCACCTGGGGAGCCTTCAAAACCTTGGTTGCTGGGCCCCCGTCCCAGACTAATTAAATAAAAATCTCTAGAGGCGGGGCCTGAGCATCAGTATTTTTCAAATGCTCCCCCGGCGGTCCTAATGTGCAGCCTGGGTCAGGCGCCACTGTGAGATTCCCCGCGGACTAGGGCTGCCCCGCCCCTCCCCTCAATCCTCCCCAAGAGAAGTACTGCCTCGGTGCCACTCTGGCCTCATTTTGAGGAAAAGTCAGGCGAAAGAAAGAGACTTCAAAGAACAGCTCCTGCTGGGGTGACATCAAGTGAAGAAGAACCCAGGCCCCACAGAAAGCCCTAGGCTTGCCCAACTCTAAATCCCCTATTCTGCTTCTTGCTCGGGAAGGTGTGACACCCCGGTGCCTCTGTACTCACACGCAGCAAATTCAAGGATGTTGTCTGGTCTTTTCAGAAACATTTCTCTGAAAAACAGGAAAAAAATAAAAGGAAGGCGGGTAAGGGAGGGGTCTCTGTGTGTGTGTGTGGCCACTGCCCCATCTTGCTCTTTGGAAAGCAGATTAATGACAGGCCTGCCCATTCTAGAAGTCATCAATAAATCAGAGGATCTTCAACAACAACAACAAACAAAACAAAACAAAACAAAGCAAAGCTAAAAACCAGAGGGTCTAAGATAAGGAACAAAACCCTGGAGAGGCTGGGTGTGGTGACTGTGACCATGCCACTAATCTGGGCACACAAGGGACTTGGGCAGGCAGATCCCTGTGAGTTCCAGGCCAGTCAGGGCTACATACTGAGACCCTATCTCAAAAAAACATGAGCCAAGCATCAAGCACCAATAAACCCAGGCCGTTATCATGCCACAGAGGAGCTGTGGAGCAGCCAGCAGACTTTGTACCTGACACTCTTACAAACACTGGACCAAACATGGCAAAAAAGAGTGTCTTCCAGGTCCTCAAGGAATTCATGCTGAATGGACAAAAACATGATCTTGGAATGGTCTGAGGAATTTTACCATGGCTTTCCCAAGGCCAGGAGACAACAAACAAAGCTAAAAAAGAAAAAAAAATGATTTAACGACTTCAGATGCTATTAGCTCTGCCACACAGCAGACAGACATGACAATGATATCACCAGGATGCTGGGATTGTCTGACAGTCCAGAAAGCTCTAGGTTTCGTAAAACATTTACTAATACTATATTGCTTTATAACGTCCCTGTAAAATGGCAATTATATCTCCATTTCACATGTAAGAAAGCAAACCTCAAAAAGGTTAATCATAGCTGGGCAGCGGTGATGGACGCCTTTAATCCCAGCACTTGGGAGACAGAGACAGGCGGGTCTCTGAAAATTGAAGGCCAGCCCAGTCTACAGAGCAAATTCCAGACCAGCCAAGGCTGCACGAGAGACCCTGATGTGTGATGTCCTTCTGTATGTGTTGCTTTTATTGGTTGATGAGCAAAGCTGTTTCAGCCAATGGCTTCGCAGAGTAAAGTCAGGCAGGAAATCCGAACAGAGACAGAGAGAGTAGGTGGAATTGAGGAGACGCCGTGTAGCCACCGAAGGAGAAAGAGGTACGAACATTACCAGCGAGCCACAAGCCTCATGGTAAAATATAAACTACTAGAAATGGGTTAACTTATAGCCAAGCCATCGATCAAACAATTGTATTTAACGTATTAGCCTCTGTGTGATTATTTCATAAGCGGCTATGGAAACTAGCGAGTGAGAGAGAAACAGATGAGGGGGACAGCAGGACAGAGAGAACTTCCAGTCACAAGACCCTGTCTTGAAAACAAAAAACAACAAACCGAAAAAGGTTAATCATTTGCCCAAGTTTATACAGACAATAAACAAAGGAGAGAGAGAGAGAGAGTCCAGGTCTTGAGCGCCCAAGGCCAGTGTTCCCTCATTGTTTGCTTTGCCTCTGGCTGTGGTGGCCTGCCAGCCACCTCCAGTTCCAGGTGCTCTCTTGGCCAAAGTCCAAGGTCCAATAATTTTGCTTCCCTCCTCATTCAGTTCAATTAGACAAATTCATAAGTGTAAATTACATGTAAGTAACTATAATTTATGAGAATGATTTTAAAATAAGAAACAAAAAATCAGGGCTAGGGAGATAACTAAACCTCTGAAACTGTAGAACACTTGTTGCCCAAGCAAGAAGCCCTGAACCCAGAACTCTGGCACCCGTGTCGAAAGCTGGGCCCTGACCCAGTGCCTATAACCCCAGCGCTGAGGGAGCTGGAAGCCAGGGCATCACCGGAGCTCTCCAGCCATCGATCAGCCTCACGCCAGATTCAGTGAGGCCCTGTGAATGGGGCATAGAGCATTCAGCCTCCAAATGCTTGTACATGGCACACACACACACTCACACACCACCCACACACACATACCACACACACACACCATACACAAACACACGCACAACACACACGTACACCACACACACAAACACACACACCATAAACACCACACACACATACCAAATACACACACACACACCATACACAAACACACACAACATACACACATACACCACACACATACAAACACACATATAACACACACATAAACACATACACACACCACACAAACACACACACCACACACAAACACACCCAACACATACACACACATGTGCATGTACTCAAAAAATACAGGCCTGCCTGGAAGACCTGACAAACAAAAGGTAAGTTTCCTAAAAGGCCAAGGAGCCTCAAGTGGTTGCTAAAAGACTATTAAACAGTGCTTTGGAAGAATGATGTGGTGGTTTGAACAAAAATGGCTCCCATAGGCCCATAGGGAGTGGCACTATTAGAAGGTGTGGCCTTGAGGTCTTAGAAGCTCAAGCAAGGCCAAGTGAGTCTCAGCTTCTTCCTGCTGCCTGCAGATCCAGAAGGAGGACTCTCAGCTTCTTCTCTAGCACCATGTCTGTCTGTGTGCCGTCATGCTTCCTGCCATGACAATGGACCGAGCCTCTGAAACTGTAAGCCATCCCCAGTTAAATGTTTTCCTTTATAAGAGTTGCCATGGTTGCTGGGTGATGGTGGTGCGCGCCTTTAATTCCAGCGCTTGGGAGGCAGAGGCAGGTGAATCTCTGTGACTTCGAGGCAAGCCTGGTCTACAGAGCGAGTTCCAGAACAGGCTCCAAAAAAGCGACAGAGAGAAACCCTGTCTTGAGAAAAGAAAAAAAAAGTTGCCATGGTCATAGTGTCTCTTCATAATAATAGAAAACCCTAAGACAAGAACATTCCTAGTCCAGGGAAACAGCAAGAACCAAGGCCAGAGATGCAAACAGTACTGTGTCCTGTGACCGCCTTGAGGTTAGCAGCTGGGTTGTATCTACTGCTGCATCCCCATGATGCAGAGAAGAGCTCTGGGGTGGGGAGTGACTGCCCGGGCTTGGGAAATAACTAGAGAGCTTGGTCTGCTCAGCATAAGGAAGGACGTGTGTGCAGGAGAAATGAAGGACTCGTGATGGGAAGTGGTGGGGAAGGGTGGTGGGGCATGTGCTCAGCATGAGGCAGTGGGTTGCCTGGCACTGTGAAAAAGGGAAAGGGAATGGGAATGGTAATATGTGTTGGGGTCACACAATCACGAAAGGGAAACAAGATCGAGTAGAAGGAGGCGGGCACAGAGTGGCAAGGATTCAAGAATGCCATGTATATAAAGACCAAAGGGCATTGGATTCGTGCCGTTAGAAGCCAGCAGCATAACTCAGGCCACTGCCAGGGAGACAGAGGCCAGCCTGGCCTGTGTTGTGAGACTTTGTGTCCCTTGGTTCTGAGGTCCTAGTGAAGTTCAGTTCCTCCACCCAGGGTGTCATGTGTACAGCAGAGTTGATCCAACCTGAGATCTGTCATTTGTCTGCATATAACAATAGGTTGTTTAAAAAACAAAAAAAAAAAAACAAAAACAAAAAAGGCAACGTTGGAAGTCACTGAAGATTTTTCCAGACAAGGAATAACAGACTAGAGTTGTAGTTTGGGAAGACGTGTGTGCCTACACACGTGTGGACGCAGCATCTCCAGTCCTAAGTCTGAGAGTGGCCATACTTCCAGCTTCTCAGGTATTCGGGGTGCACTGGATTTCTGAGGCCTAGGGGCTAAGTGGCCACAACCCAGAAAGCCCAAGCAGGACAGTCCTCCCTGCGGGAGGAGTTCACAACTTCATAGGGCTTAGATATCAGGAGCAGAGACCCCAGTGCAGCTGGAAATATTTCCCATCCTGCTGGTCCTATCCTGCTGGTCCTCTGGACCGGTTTTCCTCCATCCACATGTTCCCCGAAGTCTCTTGTGAAATAACCACTCTGAGGCTTGTTATCAGTTACAACAGTTACAATTGCTTGGTCAGCGTCTTAGGCTTCTTTTTTTTTTGGCGGGGGGGGGGGTCGAGACAGGGTTTCTCTGCAGCCTTGGAGCCTGTCCTGGAACTAGCTCTTGTAGACCAGGCTGGCCTCAAACTCACAGAGATCTGCCTGCCTCTGCCTCCTGAGTGCTGGGATTAAAGGCGTGTGCCACCACCACCCGGCACCTTTTAGGCTTCTTATTGGCTAGCTTTAACTACTAAATTAACCCATTTCTATTAATCTGTATATCGCCACGAGGCCGTGACTTACTGGTGTGGCGTGTTACTCCTTTGGCAGCTACTACCTTTGGAGTCTCCTCGACTCCACCCACTCTCTCTGTCTCTGTTCCAATTTCTCACCCATTGGCTGAAACAGCTTTATTCATCAACCAATAAAAACAACACATATTTCCAGCATACAGAAGGACATTCCACATCACTCTAGGACAGAACTGACCAGGCTGCCTTATCTAGCCCTTCCTTCATCCTCCTCTTCACACAGGACTGGGTAAAGCTTCTAGAACAAAGCTGGACTGATTCTGGCTCACTCTGGTACTGCTGAAGAAAATAAGCCGCAGGCAAATAAAAATGCTTCAGATGCCACAGCCCAGAGAGAAGCCAGTGGAGTTCACCCAGCTGAGCTGCAGCACAGCAAAGGGGCTGACTGGGCTGCTCGGCCTTCGGAGAAAGGAAAGAAGGAAGATGAAGGCTTTCGGGCTGCAGGGACATTGCAGCAGCTGGACCCAGATTCCAGCCTCTTCCTGAAAACTTCCTGGACAAACAGAGACACAGGGCCATCCAGCACCCCATGCCCCCATTCATTACACAGTGTTCTAACCCCGTGTTTGTGGATGCTAGTGTAGGTAAAAGGCAGGGTCCTCAATGTTACCAAGATGCCATCACAGTATGGATACTGTGGAGACGAGACACACACGGTACCACTAGCTTCGAACACTGGGATAGTAACATAAATCAGAGACTAACAACACTGTCACAAGTTTGGCGGCTGCTGATGCAGGGAAACAGAACAGAGTCTAGAAATGGTCACCAGGGTTATTTCAACCACGCTGACCTGGCGGTAGCAAACAAAACTCGAGCTAGCGCTCTGGTCTCCATCTGTGTCGCGTTTCTTCAGTTTTTTTCCTGTTACCCCATTAGGAGGTATTTTTCAAGACAGGGTCTCACTATGTAGTCCTGGCTGGAACTCTCTCCATAGACCAGGCTGGCCTCGAACTCACAGAGACCCAGCTGACTCTGCCTCCCATGTGCTGTAGTTAAAGGTGTGTGCCGTATCCACTGTCTTAGGCCCAGTGCCTCCACCACTTGGCCATTCTGGTTCTGAGATTTTACTATTCTGATAGAGTGCACTGAAGAAACATGTCCTAGGACACACTGGGAAATGGGGAGTTCTATTTGTTTCTCTATTAACTTTTAGCTTTTTAAAGAGAGGGTTTCACTCTGTCATCAGACTAGCCTTGAATTCATGAATCCTTCTGCCTCTACCTCCCAAATGCTGGGACCACAAGATTACCACCAAATTAAGAAAACAGTATTCTTTTGCCTCAAAATTATTCTTTCTATTTTTTTTTTAAAGAAATAGGGTCTCACTATGCAGTACAGGTTAGTCTTGAACTTGTGATCCTCCTGCCTCAGCCCCTGTCATTTTTCTCCAGTGTTCTCAGGGGTAGGCAGGGACCAAGAGTCTGTACAGTTGGAACACCTTTCCTGCTGTTTCCCCAATGCCACATTCCCCCCTCCCGTTGTCATGAGGTAAAAACGTTATTGTTTATTTTTACAGTTGGAGTGAACGATCATCAGTGTTTTAAAGAATCAGTGTTTTAAAGTAGAGAGAACTGAAGAAAATTCACAAGTGTCAGAGTTACAAAAGGTCAAATCCTAGGACTTTTCTAACTTTTACAAGGTCCAAACCAAGCTGAACTGGTGCGTTTGTGTAGTTCCAACACCTGGGACGGTGCAGGCAGGAGGACCATCACAAGTTCAAGGCTAGCCTATGCTACATAAGGAGTTTGGGTTCAAGACCACCCTTGACTACACGAGACTCTGTTCAAAAAGGCGGGGGGGGACAGTTTTGCTGGGGGGTTTGTTTGTTTGTTTTGTTTTATTTTTTTCCTTGAGTCTCACTATGCAACTCAGCCTGGCCTCAAACTGAAGATTCTCCCCGAGGGCAGCTGTTAGAATGTCTGAAAGAAGAAGAGAGCGCATATATTCATCTATCCATCTACTCGCGGCAAGATCTGTAAAAGTCTTACTAGCTCTCTCAGGCCAACCTGTCAGCCCGCGTACCTGAAGAAGCCGCTAATGAGCAGCGATACTTCCTTGTGGGTCCTCAAGTACTTTTCATTTGCGATGCGAGTCTGAATCTGAGGAGCAACAACCAAGAGTCAAAGATCTGGGGAGAGAGATCCAGGTTTCAAGCCTAGAAAGAGGTGCGAAGAGGGGGGACAAGCCAGGTCTTTTCTTGGAGTGTTTGAAAGCCGAAGCAATTTTCAGATTTTCTTTTGAGGAAGCCGCATTTCTTTTCGTTAAAGGCAGAGAGTTTCACAGTGCCTGGGCTGTTCTGGAATGTGGTGAAGCTGGCCTTAAACTCCCGTTTCTCTGCCTCTACCCACAGTGCTGGTGTATGTGGTGTGGAGTGGGGTACGGGTGGTAGAGAGGATTGGGACCTAGAGACTGGTGCAGGCTAGGCCAGCATGCTAGCTCCCACCAACTGAGCTACACTTCCTGTCATTTCTCTACTTGGCCAGACCCCTACCTGGTTCTTCTTGCGCTTTCAAATGCCTGGCAGATTGGGCTCAGGGACGCTCCACCCAGTCCTCTGGCGTTTATCTCCAGGAACAGACCCTGCTCTGCTCTCCCGGGGTTCTCCTTCGAGGGACCTTTGTCCTGAGCTTCACTTTGATCAAAACAGGTATTAGGGACGCACCTTGAAATCTCGCAACTGCTCCAATTGCTCCGGGCTCAATGTTCCCGGATCTGGCCCCACTGAGCGTTGAGGAACCGTCTCCATCTAGCTGCAGTAGGTTGTCTAGGCAACGGGCCGCGGAGAAACGAAGCCCCGCCCCGCTGTCAGCCCCGCCCCTGACCCGCCCCTCTATAAGTCCTATCCTTTCCTGGCTGTGAAAACAGAATCCTACTGACTGAAGCAAGGTGGAGGCTACTCTTCAACTGAATGAACTTGGATTTGGGGTCACTTTTCCCAGACTTAAAGACTGATTTCTGAGCTGAATTGTATCTGAAACGAGCCTTTCTTCTTGACCCCACTTGACTTCAATAGTGCATTTACTTAGCTAGAACAAACCACAGAAGAGGTTCTGAGCAGTCTTTCAGAACCCAGCCCCCAGCGTGGGCAGACTGTGCTTGCGTAGAAAAATCTAGGCTTCTTCCCTTTCTACTGGCGCAGAAGCCAAGCTTTCCATCTGTTCCGTAGACAGACACTAGATATTGGAAGTCTGGGTTCCTAAAATACGAAAGCACACCAGAGCGTGGTCGGAGCCAATCTCTGCAAAGACAAGAACATTTTCAAACTCAGACTGCTGGACCTGGCCAGCGCTCTGGCAGAATTTCCCTTTTTGTAATGACTTTCCCAGGTAGATCAATTTTCTCTTCACCCTAGGCGCCTCATAAATTGTAAATTATTTCTCTCTCGACTGAATAAGGGAAGGGAAAGGGAATGAACTGGCTGCAAGATTTGTTCTTCTAGTTTCTAATTAAGAAGGGTAAGTGAAACATAGAATCTTAGCTCTCAAAATAGCTGCCTGACAACACACACACACACACACACCAGTTTCCGCTGTTCACAGAGATGGCACCCAGCAGAGATCTTCTGAGAGGCGGGAGACAGAATCCCCAAAGAGTTTGGGACTTGTGAACACCGCTCCCCAGAGCAAAAACATAGCGTGACAAGCTGAATGCTTACCATGGAGGGATCTCCCTGCGGTCTGCTCACCTCTACATTTCCAGAGAGAACAGCAGATGCAGGTGAGCCAGTTAGTGGCTGTAAGCGTCTTCCCAGGAGCCCATCTGGGTTAGCAATCATTTCAGTTGTTTATCTGTTTTTTTTTTTTTTTTTTTTTTTTTTTTTTGGAGAGAGAGTTAATGGTGAGAGGGAGATAAGCTGCCATCTGTCAGGAGTGATGTTTTCCCAGCAAGAGCAGAGGTTACCCAAGGGTGACAGTTTCTCTAAGCTGAGGCCGACTTCCTCCTATCCCGTAGAGGGAGCGGTCACAGTGAAATCCGCAGACTTGTAGGTAGTGTGGCTGTCACAGCCTCTCAGTTCTTGAGTGTTTGAGATGTGGCTGTGCTAGATAAGCCAGAAATTTAAAATACACTTTGGACCTTGAAGGCTTTATGGAAGAAAATAATATAAGCTATCTCAATAACTTTATATGTACTGAATGTCAAAATAGTATTTTGAATAAAGTAGGTTAAATAAGCTGTCTTTGTGTATGTGTATGTGTGTTGTGCACATGTGTGTGAAACCAATTGTCATTGTCCAGTGTTAATCACTCACCATCTTCCTTTCACTGAACTTTGAGCTCACTGGCTGGCCAGGCCACCCATGACGGCCCAGAGAAGCAGGAATCCACATTCCCTGACTGCCCACTGAGGGGACTCGGACTCAGCAATGCACCCGACATTTTATGTGGGTGCTAAGAACTTGGACTCAGGCCCTCATACTCTATAGGGCCTATACTCAGGCCTCATACTCTATAGGTAGAGCAAGTACTCTACCTCTGAGCCATCTTCCTACCCCCATAAAATGGTTTAAAAATAAGACGGTCTCACTGTAGCCGTGGCTAGCCTGGAACTCACCACGTAGACCAGGCTGGTCATAAACTCAGAGAGTTGCCTATATCTGCTTCCCAAATCCTGGGATTAAAGGCATAAACCACCTCTCCTAGCTCCATTATTTATTTATTTATTTATTGTTTTGCTTTTTCAAGGCAGGGTTTCTCTGTATAGTCCCAGCTACCTTGGAACTCACTAGGTAGACCAAGCTGGCCTTGAATTCAGAGATCTGCCTGCCTCCCCCTCCCAAGTGCTGGGATTAAAGGTGTGCACCACCACTGCCTGACTATTTATTTATTTCTTTATTTATTTTCTGGTTTTTCAAGACAGAGTTTCTCTTTAGCTTTTTGGAGCCGGTCCTGGAATTCGCTCTGTAGCCAGGTTGACCTCAGACTCATAGAGATCTGCCTGCCTCTGCCTCCTAAGTGTAGGGGTTAAAAGCATATACCACCACTGTCCAGCAATAAAATTATTTTTACATGTAATTTCCCGAAATGGATGCAAAGACTCATACCTGTAATCTTGGGAAATAGAGGCTGGAAGATCAGGAGTTCACCCTGTGCTACATAGTGAGGTTCAGGCCAGTTTGTGGTACAGAAGACCCTGCTCAAATAAATAGATAATTCATAAAAAGTCAGTAAGTGAACCAGACATGGTGGTGCACACCTTTAATCCCAGCACTCCAGAGGCACAGGCAAGACGGTCTCTGTGAGTTTGAGATTAGCTGGTCTATGTAGAGAGTTCCAGGATAGCCATGGCCACATAGAGAAAGTCTGTCTCAAATCAATAAACAAACAGGTTGGCAATGTGATCAGTGCTTAAAACACTTTCCACATAAACCTAAAGACCTGCGCTTGATTCCCCAGAACTTACATAAAGGTGGAAGTAGACGCTCCACCCTTAAAAGCCATTCTTTGGTCTTCACACACGCATTGTAACATGTGTGCATGTGTGTGTACCCACAAATACAAATCAATAATGTGATTTTAAAATGTTTAAAGGAGGAAAAGGGACTCCACAAAGTTGTCTTCTGACCTCTGCATGCAAGCCATGACACACACATCCTCAATAATAAAATAATACAACAATAAGATAATAAATAGGCAGTAAATAAAATAAAATTAGCAGCTTTCTTGGGAGTAGTTGAGATAGATTCTCTCGGTGTAACTCTAGCTGTCATGTAGCTTGCTATATAGACCAGGCTGGCCTTGATCTCACAAAGATCTGCCTGCCTCTGCCTCCCAGTGTGGGATTATAGGTGTGTGACACCACTTTTGCCCCCATTAAAAAATATTTTTATGTATATAGATGTTTTACTTGTGTGTTTGTTTGGGTACAATGTGCTTGTATTGCTGCAGAGGCTAGAAGAGGGCCTCAGACGGTTGTCAGTCATGATATAGGTGATGGGAACCGAACCTGGGGCCTCAGAAAGAGCAGCCAGTGACCATCTCTCCAGCACCTTAAGGTCAGTAATCTTCTCATACACGGCAGCTTAGCTTTGAGGAGGAGGAAGAAAGAGCAAGCTTGCAGTTGATGGTCTGAGAAAATCCTCTGGGGGAATTAAAGCCTACAGCCTCGTTTGCTCAAAGAGAAGCTCCCAGGGACAAGTTCCTGAGTCGTGGGGCTCCCCCTTAGTCTTTACCTCACAGAGCTCCCATCCCCCCCCAAGACTGAAAGACCTTCAGAGGTGACAGTCCCAGTCTGGACTGGACACTGAGCGAAGGACTGAGACCCTTTGCCGTGTGCAGCCATCTCCCGGTTACTGCTTGGGAGGAGGAGCCAGAAGGGCTCATTGAAATTCATTTTTGTGGATGTTTAATATTTCAGTTAAGATGATTAGGCCCAAGCCTGAATGAGCAGTGAGGAGGCAGACCTGCTGAGAAGACAGAGAGTAATGAGATCAGTGGGCCCAGCCACAGGGTCCCCCATGCTCTCAGGGCGTGATCTGTTTAACATCTCCACAAATGCCAAGATCGGATTAGAAAGGCAAGAAAGGAGAAGTGGGGGTGGGGCAGGCGAATGGAAAGTTACTGTGGAGAAAGAGCTTCCCACTTCCTGGTCGCCTGGCATTGCCAAGGCATCTCCACTCGTCATAGAGTCCCCATTACCTCACCCTCTTGTTCCATTTTAGGGTACCCTGTCAGGAGGTCCTGCACATCGATCTATATGGTGAGGTGTGATCAAGTCTCCACACAGATATTCACTCAAATATACACACCTGCCAGAATGTAGCAGCTTCAGGCCACAGAATCCCAGGTTAAAGGAGGTGGACATGGTCACCAGGGAATGGGGGAGCAGGAGGAAGGTCACCAGGGAATGGGGGAGCAGAAGGAAGGTCACCAGGGACTCTTCAAGGGCACAGAGGGAAAGACAGACAGACCAGGTTCATATCACCGCATTCCCACACGGAATTCTGGGTGTGGGACCCACCCTACCTAGGCTGCAGTCTCAGCTGGATGTGGCATTTCCAGCTGTGTGACTTTAGGCAAGTTACTTAACCACTCTGTGCCTTGGTTTCTTCATCCATATCATATAGGGCAGTGTGTTTAGCAAGTTAGGAACTCTCACATGTTTGGAACAATGCCTAAGACGTGGTTCTGCTATTTCAGATCCAGAAGAAGAATCTGCTTGTTGTGATAACTCAGGAATGGAAGCCTCCAGGGTGCGTCTGGGCTTCTCAGAGACACCCACAGCACTCTAGAGACATCAGCTCCACCCTGGGTAGAGGAACAGAATAAGAAGAGCAGGAAGCAGGGCGGTCTACAGAAGCTGCTAGTGAAGTGGGGATGGTGAGCCTGGACCGCTACCCTGAGAGCTGATACCCACAGACCCATCCTGCACTGAGCAGGCACCGTGCTTGAACAGAGAAAGCCAACCTTCCTCTGGATCATGCAACACATGATCAGGTTTTGAAGTATAATTGGTTTCTTTGGGGGGTGGGGGGAAGGAATAATGAACCCTAAATACATTTTTTGGCTCCTCTCATCTGTCGCCGAGCAAAAAGGAAGGAGTAACTGGGTACTCAGCCCTCAAGGGGAGCCTGGCAGCTGTGCGTGTTCCCATAGAAGGAATCAGGACTCCCCACGTCACAGGTTCTTTGCATGAAGTGTTTGCTAAGCACCTACTATGTATGAGCAAGACACCACACTAGACTCTGAGCAGTAGGATGCCGAATTAAAGGGAATCTTGGTCTTCAAGAGACTTCTTCCAAGTGAGGGCTGCCAGCAGCTGCCGGCTCCCTGCCCATGCACTTATACACACAA